GAGAGAGAGTGGTGTGTGTGTATGTGGCCAGCTCAGCCCACCAGGGGGCGGGGCTGGCTGGCATGTGGTGCTGGGGGATTGAACTGCGGTCCCTGATGCTTTGCCAAGCTTGTTCTAAGTAGGTGCCTTAGACCACTGAGCCATCTCTCCAGCCCTGCCACTGAGTTTTATCCATAGCCCTAAATCATATATTTTTTCCCATAATTTTATTGATAAACAAATAGCAATGAGACAGTTTCAAGTCAAATTGGTAGGACAGTTTCAATAATTCACATAAATCATATTTTTTTAATTCTCTCTTTTGCCATGGAAGTTATTTGTAAATGAATGAAGCAAATTCCTTGTCCTCAATGTATTTTCTTTTCTTTTTTTTTTAATAAATTAGTTTTCTTTATTTATTTTTAATATTTTATTTGTGTGTGTGTGTGTATGTGGCCAGCTCAGCCCACCAGGGGGCAGGGCTGGCTGGCATGTGGTGCTGGGGATTGAACCGTGGTCCCTGGGCTTTGCTAAGCTTGTTCTAAGTAGGCGCTTTAGACCACTGAGCCATCTCACCAGCCCCTGTATTTTCTTTTCAATGAGTGTTTATGTGTGAGTTTAGGACTACCTTTAAAAGGAAAGCTACTGTCATTGTGATTGTTACTGTGTTGTGGTGTTGGACAGGGAATCCAGGCTCTTTGGCTTGCTGGGCAAGAGCTCTACCACTAAGCATCAACCCCAGCCCAATGAGTGACATTTAATACATTCATTTTGCTTTCTCTTTTACGTTAGACTTTTTTATTATGCATGTTTAGTGATGTTCATTTTGCGGAATCAACACATGCATAGGACAGATTTGGATCATTATCAATCGTTTTACCTCCCACCACCCGTGCCCTCCCTCCCCCATCCCTTTCCTGGTCTCTGTGAGATTGTCATCTAGTTTCCCATAATCCCTTATTGACTGATTGATTGATCCATTCATTTTTTTTAATTACAAAAAAATTATTTAGGCTGGGGAGATGGTTCAGTAGAACAAGTACTTCCCTGGCAAGCGCAAGAGCCTGAGTTCAATCCCTGGTTCCGCAAAAAAAAAATCTTGAACTTTGGATGGGGTAAAAGGAAAAGGGAGGGCCGCTCAGGCTGCCCGCTGCATGCTGCTTGCTTCTTCCTGCCTGCTGCCTCCTGTCTGCTCTGTGATGGACCGTTTCTCCTCTGTGATGTCTCTCTGGCATGCCACCTTGCCTTGGAGACAACTGGTGATGGACTGAAGCCTTCACAAAGTGAGAGCTACAATAAACCTTCAGTCCTTTAACTTTGGAGTGTTGAGTATTTTGTCTCAGCATGAGAAAAATAACCACAGTGACATTCTGGTTTTAGATTTTTTTTTTTTTTTTTTTTAAGATGTATTTAGTACAGGGTCTACAGAGTCTCACTACACAGTTCGGACTCAGTGATCCTCCTATTTTCAGCCTCCTAAACACTGGGATTACAGATGCGTACCACCACACCCAGTCTCAACTGCCCTCTCAGGGTGCCCCAGGGGAGAGGCCAGCATGCATGCTGGGTATCGAACCCTGTCCCTGTGATACAGAGAGAAAAACTGGTCTCAGGTGGGTGACCTCCAAATGACATAGGGCTCTGGACCTGACTTGCACAAGTTCGTGTTCTCTAAAACTGAAAAATGAATTTTAGGAACAAATGGAGGTTATGAGCAGAATATATTTATTGAGAGAAAGAAAGCTCCTGTCCCAAGAGAGAGGAACAGGAAGAGGGGCCCGAGCGGGTATTTCCCGCCTGGAAGTTGTCTTTTGCAGGGACTTTTATAGAGGAAAACCATGTGGTGAGGCGGGTCTAAGGTGGTGGAGAAGACATGGGAATTTGCTTAGTTGGGCATAAGGTGGGACAAAACTATGGTCAACCAATGAGATTACAAGCATCATTGCTCAGGTAAAACTGATTAAATCCAATATCAAATGGGAAAGCGGGTCACGTAGCAAGTGGGCATGAGTACAGACAGGGTCTCTTCCTGTTGGGGGTTGGGCTAGTGATTCATTTGGGCTCTTTCAAGTTGATTGATACTATTTAGGATATCAATCCCTAATGCCCATCCCTAGGGAAGTATGTAGCTGTGCTTCGTCTTTTTGTCTTGGTCTTGAGGTGTGGCCCATATGGGAGTGTCTGTCTCTTCCAAGTTGCAAAGTCACCTTGTCTTCCAGCTTGTCTCCTTGAGGGCCTGGCCCTGTCTGACTGCCTATATTTCTTTTTTTGTTTTTAATATTTATTTATTTAGTGTGTGTGTGGCCAGTTCAGCCCACCAGGGGGTGGGGCTGGCTGGCATGTGGTGCTGGGGATTGAACTGCGGTCCCTGTGCCTTTGCTTAGCTTGTTCTAAGTAGGTGTTTTAGACCACTGAGCCATCTCACCAGCCCTGACTGCCTATATTTCTGTCTAACTCGGCTGCCTGCAACTCCTGTGCCTTCCTAAGCAGGCACTTTAGTCCACTGAGCTATCTGGCTGGCCCTTGGTTTCAGATTTTTTTTTTTTTTAGGAACTGGGGATTGAACTCAGGCCCTTGCGCTTGCCAGGGAAGTGCTTATTCTACTGAGCCATCTCTCCGGCCCCTTAGATTTTTTGAGGCATATGCATACTGATTTCCACAGGGGCTGCACGAGTCTACTTTCCACCAATAATATAGAAGAGTTTCTTTACCCCCACATTCTCACCAGCTTCTGTTGTTTTTTATGTTTGTGATGACAGTCATCCTGACTGGGGCAGGATGGAATCTCAGTTATTTTGCTTTGCACTTCCCCAGTAGCTAAACATGGTGAATATTTTTTCATACACTTAAAGGCTAGTTGTGTTTCTTTTGAGAAATGACTTTTCAGGTCAGTTGGCCATTTTACTGGTTGATTTATTTGTTTGGGGGGCAAAGTGTTTGAATTTTTTATATATTTTAGGTATAAACCGTCTCTCAGAAGAGTAGCTAGGGGGGCCAGGGAGATGGCTCAGTGGAATAAATGCTTCCCTGGCAAGCGCAAGGGCCTGAGTTCAATCCCTAGTTCTGCCAAAAAAA